CTTAAAAATTTCAAGAAAAAGCGTCTGCCATCTCTAAAGACCGGCACCTCGCTTGTGACTAACTGTGCAAGACTGACTGAGTTGCAAGCGTTCACGGGTGGCGGTAATCACTTTCCGACTGGTGACCAGGCTGCTCATTTGCTTGCATACAAAAAAGAGCAGATAAACAGTCTTTATCACAATCTCAGAATTAAAGTCACTAAACTTTTGCTATCTTGGCATCGTATACAGAATAATTATAACGAAATTCAACGCTTGTAGCCAATATATCACACGGTACTTCCATTAATCATAGCGGGCACAACTACGACGTTCGTCGATTAATCCTGTTCAGTGTAACCGATTAGGGGCACTTTCAATCAAGATTGTTTGCAAGCCTGAGCCAAGTTTGTCTAGATATGCGATGATTGACCCACTTAGAGGCCTCGTATATTGTTGACTTGAACCCCGTCTTTTAAATGCTTCCTAAACATGTATGGAAGGTATAAATTACGATTTGCCCCTAGTCTGGTTAACTAGAATAGTAATATGCTTAACAATTCTAGGTATCTGGAGGCACGGATTGCGTAGTGGTTTAAGCGGTTACCTCGCCTCGTCCTACTGCGCTGAGTGTTGTGGGTTCGATCTCCACATTTAACAACACTTTGTACTCGTATGATCTACATATTCTTGTTCTTAGTCTGGATGTTCTTTGTGTCCGTTTCATGTATGTTTGTAAAATCCCCCGCGACACAGGATATATTCCTAGGGTAGGAGTTGACTTTTACAAAAAATAAAAATAAATGTGAAGTTTTTCTAATATGTCTTGTGACTAAATTATTTTTCTAAGTAAACAGAATATTGTATTATTCTTTTGATAAAAATAAACTTCGAGAGATTTCTCTAGAAACAAAAAATAATAATGTAGGAACTATGCTGAGATTCCTAACCTCTCTTGATTTATGGTTTCAGAACGTAACCAAGTAAAGTAGCAAACTTTTTAATGACAGAAACTATTCTATCATAAACTGTGTATGTAATAGCAGCATCATCTAAAGGCAAGTCCTGCACTCGTTCAACTAAATATTTTCATTATATTGTAATAAAAATGTTACTTAATTCTAATACATCCATTTTAAAGTTGCTTTTCATGCAAGGTTGCGTAAGAAACCTGTTTAATGTATGTTATTACATGCTTATAGTTATGAGTCAGTAAGATTGTTGGAGTTATAAGTTATATTAAGTAGATGCTCGACGTTTATATAATTAACTTCACTATTGGCAAACGTGAATGTACTCATTTATTTTCCAAATAGGGTAAATCAGATAAAAACTAAAAGGAGGTTTAATAATGAAATATAAGTGTATTTCGCCTAGAAACCTATTATTTATCTACTTAAATGGTATATGTACGAGTATTTACATAAAGGTGAATAAGGGATAGTTGCACTCAATAATGATTTATTTAGGATTCAACCCCAGTTTGTGTCTTACTTTAACGTTAATTCGAGAATCTGTATTTTTTCTAGATGAGTGGTACCTTGTTTCCCTTTCTGTATCCTTGTAAACGTATATGCAAAGTATCATAATTATCGGTTAAGGATTTAAGGCGAGAAAGCGCGTCACAGAAGAAATAGAAACTTACATTCCTATTTATAATATTAGTTACGATATATGAATAACATTAATATCGTAATTGTGATGATGGCCGTTTCCTTCTTAAATCACAATAATCTTCACTTATTTATAGCTACATAAAAAGCCAATAAAGATGTTGAACACAGCGAATATTCTGGCGCCTTAGAGGCGTACAGCCTCCGGGATGGCTCGAGATGTCGACCTAATTGCTGGCCATTGAACGACACTCAAGTCGGATGCTATTGGCAACCGTCACTGGGGTGGCTCTTGGCTATCCTCCTTTACGGTGCGTCAGTAGTACACAGGCAGTGTATTATTTTGCATGTTTGTTTATCTATTAAGTTGTTATGGGCGGTTAACTTCTTGAAAATCTTATTCGTAATACAATTCTTAAAGTTTTGAATAATTGTGATAATTAATTACTGATTAAGTTATTTAGTTTCTTGAGCTACAATGCTGTTTTAAATTAAATCAAGGTAAGTAGTGATAATATGTTAGTGTAGACATCTATTACATACTAGATTGAACCAAAACGGAACCCACACGGTAAACTAGAATAATAAAACTTACGGTAAACGATCGGAAAGTCAGTCAATTACCCAATACCTATAATTTTAATGGGGGCCAATACTAAAGTGTGAAAGACGCCGATTACGAAACTTTACATCCCAATTAATGTCGATATATAGTAATTAGCCTTCATTATACATACATTATTACGTCGATTAAAACACCGAAACATGACATAAAAGATCAATACACAACGATATTGTCGTAATTTCCGTAATACATATAATTTTGTCTTTTCAACTTCCACAAACACCGCATCCTGTATTTTTCGTAAAGGAACAAAGGAATTAAAAATTTACAGAGCTACAAAATACAGATGCTACTTACAATCATCTTTAACTTTACACGTCAGCAATAACTTCTGCTTGAGTTGTTCTTCACAATATAAAGTAAATATACACATCTCCATACGCCACCCTTTTCTCTCCTTCAGACACCTCTCGCATTATGTATTCAGTACAGTTTATGGGCTCTTAACCCTCTCTTTTTGGCAAAGCCCGTCCGACAGCCGTGTTTTAAGCGGCCATTGCAATCCATGCTATGTTTGTTAATTTCTCACTTTAGTCAGTAGACTGCAATTATGTTAATATTTTTTGTTTTAAATGTCCAGCGCTATAGGTATACTAAAAAGATTTCTTCCGTCCGAATTTCAGATCTCCAGTATAAAATAAAAAGGACTTTCATGTAAGATGGCGGGCGGTAACCCTTAGACCTCCTTAATCCGGCACTGTTGTATAATCCATGCTAAGCTTACGTACCCTACTTATGAATCTACGTATACGTACTTACGTCCTTGACAAATTTCACGTCTCTATGACAAAAATCGTAGGAATTTCATATAATCTTGAGCCTCTTAAAGCTCGTTTATCCGGCCCTGTCGCAAAACCCGTTCTTAACTCCCTTCTCCGACTTATAAACTACTCCCCTGCCAAATTTATCTTCATAGGTTAAGTTGTTTTTCAGATCTGGTGATTAGATTTTAGATCTCGTGATCTAAAATCTGATCTCGCGGCAATGTATAGAGTTAGTGAGTGTCGCTTTTATACATATCTATAAATAAACTAGCATTGCTCCATATTTTTTCTCACTTTATTGTCTATTTCTAGAATAAATTCTCTTGGTCTATGTTCCTATTCTAAACTAATAGTCTGTCTCTGTACCAAATTTTATCGCGTTCCGTTCAGCCGTTTTGGCGTGACTGAATAACAAACATACATCAAAACTTTCACAATTATAATATTAGTATAGATTTATTTTTATTTATTAATTTATTCTAATGACCTATTGTAACGTGACCTATTTATACGATCTCTGAATTGCTAATTGTTAGAAACAATACGTATAAAAAAATTACTCCTGGATAGAACTAATACAGCATCAGTGCTTTTGAGCAACCTGTGTCAACGACCTCTCTCCACATACATAGTTGTCACATACCGTCATGTCTAAGAATGGAAACATTTATGTTGACATCTCATAACATCATTCTCCGAAGTGTTACCCTCGTAACTGCTAAATTATGTATGACAATGTTATAAACCTTCTGATGGTTTTATAGCGCCATAAAAAGAGTAATGACTTTGCAGGTGTATTTGCAGCTGACACCTTTTGTTTCAATGGATCAATGATTCATATTATAAAAATTTACTACATCCTTGAAAATTAATATCAAGTAAGAGTATGTAGCGTCTTTCCTTCTAAAATAAGTATCTTGTAGGATTTTATCGCAAATAGGCGAAATACGTCTATTATACTAAAAACTAACTACTAATCTAATGCACTATGATGTGCACCGGTCATATTAAATTCAGTATTCTTAGTTTTGTTAGTAAATATGTGGGCAGAGACCTGCCGTTTAGTAGGTGCGAAAACCAGGGTGAACAAGGGTGGGTGTTTAATTATGCACCGTTCAACACTAAAGTGCAATCGACGGGAAGTTTTATAGATCTATAAATAATAGCACCCACGATTCTACTGGTACAGTGAGAATATCGATTGCCTTGCTATACATTTTGTAACGTGGTCAGGGGCGATCGGCCTCGTGTGCTAACACGTGGTCGTAATGGAGAGAAATTATACACTCTGGTCACTTTCAGCATTTATAATAGAACTTTGCAAAAATATTACAATAATGATTTTTAGATTTATGGAGTCCTGGAGGTTTAGACCAGGGTGGCTGCCGTGGTAGGTGGAGAACACTTCACTTGAAGTGCGGACCGGAGCAAAGAGTGTCCCGCGCCCCGTTTCCTCCTTCTTATATGCGGGGTGAAGCAGTGAGGGGAGTAGTCTTAGTGGCAGAGTGGACAGAGTAGCGTGACAATTTAGCACCTTACATTTTTATAAAAATCTGATTCGTCACCGGTTCCAAAAGCCAGTACAATCACAGTTTCGTAAATTGGCGTTGGCTCGGAGGTCTTAATTTAATGCGCAATGTTTGGATTCCGGGAAACTGTAAATATATTTACAAACACATTCGTATTGTCATTTCACTGATATTTCTATGACGTCATCAGTTTCATTGACGTATGTACTGGAATCTTTGATTTGAGCAAAGTTATTTCATTACACCTGAAACATCGCACTAATAGTGTAGAATACTATACTCTGATTAGAAAGTCTTAGTAGTGATAGCGAGTACTTGCAAAATCAACGCTTTGAGGCTGGGAGATCCTGAAGAAAAAAGCATGATTATTTGATATTGTTCAAGATGATTGATGATGATGATGATGATGATTCTTATGTGCGAATTTTATTTGTTCCAGAGCTAGAGGGTTGTCGGGCGTGGTGCGGGCGGCGGCCGCGAGCCCGGCACCATGGCTACGGTGGAGGGGCGGCCGGCGCAATATGGCGTCACCCTACGGCAGCTGCGCGAGCTGATGGAGTCTCGCGGCGCCGAGGGCATGGCCAAGATCAACGCGCTCGGCGGTCCGCAGGACATATGCAAGAAACTCTACACATCATCCACAGATGGTACCGTATTTAATTTCATACTATGATTTCTTAAGCTTGATTCCCACGGCGTCATGGCAGACGATCACGGACAGCACCGAGGTCCTTCCGAACAGCGCGAGTAGGTCTTGCCATTTAGTAAACCAGCATATTATTTTAAAATGCAAAGCTATAAAGTATCACTGCACTTGCGGGTATTGTAGTAGTTTAGTAATAGTTTTGACGTGGATATGTGTTTTCAAGGACGACCACGGACCACGCTTGCGGGCGTTTCCATGTCCATCCGTGACATCACGAACCTTAGGAAGCCTTTTTTTTTAATTTAATGAAGCGGATTTAATATCTTGAGTGAAGGGTTCGAATCTTCTACTACTACAACATAGACTACTTCCATTTGCAAACACGACCGTAGTTCAATATTGATTTTAAGTACACAATAACTAATGGCAGCCGAAGATATCCCAAACTGAATCGTAATCAATTATTCAATACTTTTATCAAAATACTATAGACCAAGTTCTCGACAGATATTGTCAATTATTCGTTTGTAATAATTGTAACACGAATTAATGAATAATCCATTAGATAATCTACGTAGCCAAGAACGATCTACTAAATAAAACTAACATTCACTGATTAACATGGGTAATTAACATTTTTGGGAAATGCCGAAATCGCCTGTTTAAATTATATTTTGCTGAAGGTACAAAACCCTTAAACGTATATCTAACTGGTCCTATATTCGCTAATACTTCACTCTGTTTTACTTTCATTAGTAAATTCCACGTAGACCGCAGAATTTCATAAGGGCAGTGGTGGAGAAATTATTTTACCCTTTGATGACTTGACAAGTTGATTCGGGGCCATTAATTTAATTCAAATTCTTTGTAAACAAACATAAAGCTGCGTTTAACATTTCAATGTGTCAAGAATTCTTCGGTAGTAAAAAAGTGAGTCACGATACGCCAAGTTTACTCACATGAGAGTTTAGGACTTTCATGTGCGAACAAAGATTTTATTTTAGTCAAATATTTACATGAACTTCAAAGCGATGTCAATCACTGTACGTACACAGTTGAAATACATTCCTTAGTTCATTAGTCCTTTACAGTATATCATTTCAAATTCTTGCTTTGAATTTTCTTTGCTGGTCAGTTTATATTTGTTGTATGAACGTTCAACCGTGACCTCAAGATTGTGTGTTGCCCCATGTTTTTCAAAATTCATTCAAATACAGTTTTTAATATCTCTATGAAAATGTTTATTAAACTCTAAACAATTGTTTTGAAATCGTTGCTAAATCGATGTGATCGCCGAACTTTCGGCCAAGGGGAATTTAATTTAGAACATTCTAGTCCTTTTACCCCCGATTGTGGCCCCGATAACACCTTAATAGCTTCGTCGCTTATACTCGGAACTGCTGATAATAACTTGTTTAAGCAGCTCTTCAAATATTGAATCGTTTACATCCACTCCTCCTGCTGCAATTGTTTCATTTACTACTGAATGTTTTTCTATTTTGAAGGGGCTACATTTAATCTGTGAAATGCTTTTTTTAACCTATAAAAATGAAAAGTCGCCAAAGTGAATCATTTTTTACTATTAAATAAATGTAAAAATCATGGTTTAGTAACTTTTTACTCGTTTTTAAGTTAAAAAGGTAATACTCTATTTTTAAAGTAATAACTGAACGTGTTTCGTACCGTGTATACGAAAGGTTGAGAAGTTTGAGTTAAAATTGAAAATCGATTGTGGAGTACATCAACCTTTACAGACGTTTTATTACAAATATCAGTACAACGTGAGGTATTTATCAGCTGTTTGATGTTCCAATGCATATGATTTATGAAAAATTGTGTTGTAGGTACACACACTTGCACTTGTGATATATATCTATATATATGCCCAAGTGTAAGTTTGGGTATGTCTAATAAAAATTGTACATATTATATGTTTACTGCATCTATTGCAATTTTAGTATATGTACTGCCGAATTTACTGCATCTTATAGTAGGAATAAAATGTTACTACGAGTGCTTGATTATGTCCAGGATTATGCTTTTCTCCTACAGAATAAATTATATTTACAGCTATAATAAATTTAAAATAAATGTGAATATAGTGAATAATTGCCTCATTGTTAACATCATATCAAGTCAAGGACAGGCATACAGTCCAATGCTGGGAGCGGATCGGTCGATCTGTGATCTTCCGATTCTTGCTTATTACTACTAATTATCTACCCATTCTTTTTACAGATTTATGTAAAACTAAAAGTGTATTGTTATTGATCCAAGATAGTGTAGCTTAAATATACGTGTCGTACTTTTTATACTTAATTGTGTTCTATTGAAGCGGGTAAGCCTTCTACAAATTGTACGTTAAGTTGTGTTTAAATCTGTCAAAGATTACTAAACATAAATAGATATTGTTGCATTTTGGACACAGTTTTTCAAAGGTTCGTAATTCGCATTATCCAATTTCAAACTTTGTTAACACCACACTGTACCGAACAAAGGGCAAAGGGAGCAGATGCCATTAATCTCGTCATAACAACACAAACAACTTTCCTACAAACCAACAAGCTTGAGTTATAGGCCGACCACAGTCGGTGGGTCTCTGACGCAGGTGAATCTCATGAGATCGCCCTACCTTCTCCTTGTGGCAAGGTTGACACGCTCCTTGGTTTATCTGTATATTTTTGTATACGCGTGAAGCTATTAACGTAAACGATAAAGAACGGTTTTACGAACATTATGAGACGAATAATCTAATCATAACTATTTATTCGATTTGAATTTTCGGCGAATATCTAATTAGGGTTCGCTCGAATGTCGAAATTATACATAAGCAAATTTATGGGGCCGCAGATACATGATTTTCTCCTTGTCGCTGTGTACTGGATGAGGTAGGGGATATCATGTCTCATGTAATAAAAAATGGAAAAGTGCATACAACATTTCTACGTTAGATAAAACAAAAGCACTGCACAATTTATAATTTTAGTTTTGTCTTAGTTTGTAAAATTCTAGATAACATTAATATTAACAGTATACTTCATAAATCTTTCGATTGTTACTTCACAGGCCAGGGCATCCTTTATACTATTATTATTTCCTTCAAATATTATTGTTAAGAGTACAGCCGGCTGTCGTACTTAGAACATGTTAGGTGACTTAAATAAAGGTGAATGACTACACAGAATCATTTCAATGGTTGTCGAACAACGGTTGCTAATACCCCTTTGATTATTTAAATGTCAAGAAATACTCAATGCCTAGGTAGTCCTTAATTGACATCAAAGCTTAAAGCTTAGCTCAGATTATAGATATTACCAAACGAAGCCGTAATGTGTCACATCATGTGGAAGCACACACAGAGGACCCTTCTGCCCCCTTCCTTTTTTTCCTCAGTACCTTCTGCTAACCAAAAGTACACGCAGAAGAATAGCTAATATAAATGCAATATTTTTATCAGAAAAATCGGAGCCATGTCGGAGTTGTAAGTTAAAAAAAATTAATATGTCCAAATTTAATTTTGGGAGAGCAAAGCATGTTTTTAAGAAATTCTCTGTACACCGATACATATTATATAATATTAAGAGATACAAAATACTCATTCTAAAGTTTATCTTAGTTAAATAATGATCTTTCCACTCTTAAAATAAAGGGCGAGCTTTAGTATCTTATGACCTTATTACTTGTGGCAACACTAATTACAGTAGAAACTTCATGTTCCAAAAATGAACGTACGATGTGTTCTAAATACGAAACACAAACAATCCTAATTGAGACGTCTCAATAATCGCCGTTGATGTTGAATTACTGTTTGAACCCGATGTAAAAGCACTCCAGTCACCTGCCAAAGTAAACAGTCGAAATCGAAGTTTTCATAGTAAGCGTTTGGAGACAGTTCTGCAATATCTCTCGCCACGAGGCGAAATTAGCATTCTGTAAAACCGGCACTCTCGACTGGATTTAAACGTTGATCTATCCATCTCTTGATCTTTATCTTTAGTATTAGATGATAAAACGAATTTCTCTACAATTTTACACCTACACTTTGTATACTTGTTATTAAAAACGTTTAAAAGCGTTTAGAACTTACTTACTAAAAGCTTATAGAATAAATACATAGTAAGTTCTGCTTTTTCATGATAATTGTCGAATATTTGGCCTGAAAGGTCGTAAATAAAACTGGACTATTGAAACTAACAACTACGTAACGTGTAGTAAAGTAATTTGCCACACATAACTTTTTAATACGCTTAATTGAATGAATTACATTCACAAAATAACCGCAGTAAGGTCTTGTCCTTCTATGACGAGTCCGTGAAATAGTCATTCCAATTATGCTACAGGATATAAAAATAGAACGTTTTATGGCAAGTTTCATGTCTTTTTAATGTATTTCGTAATATTGTTAGCCACTCTTCGCTCATCAAAAAGTAATTAGTGTGAACTAAAATACGTTTTGAGTAACTTGTGGCCCGCTTTCCTCAGGGAGGTGTTGTTGAAAGAGCAACGTGGCGACGCTGACGTCTGGATTTTTGTTACCAAATATATTAAGTACGGTTTGGTATTGCGATTTACGTTTATAGCCTATTTTCGACGAAATAGCGGAAGTAAACTAACCAATAGTACGAACATAAAGAATATGTATTTATATGTACATATATTTATTTATATATATATATAATTGTAATTGTATTCGTATTGTATTATAATTTATATGAGCAATTGTATCTATAATATTTGTAAATTTTGGGTAGTTTTAAATAAAAAATATAGTATAAATAATACAGTGATTACAGTCGTAAAATCGGTGCACCTACAAGATTTCTACACCAACTTAAGGTTGGCTGATAGAGAATGCCCAGGGCATTAAGTCCGCCGATGTACATAACTACATGAAGATGTAAAAGAAGCCTTAAGATAAGATATATAAAAAATAACCAAAAATGATGTCAGAAAAAAATATTCGCTAATTACGTTAAAGGTCACGTGAACTGCCAATCTCCT